CAACAGTTCCACGCCAACACTAGGAGGACCCTCCGTTGTTAACCACACTGATAATGATATTGCAAGGCCACACGCCATCGTATAAGATGGCGTGTGGCCCTGCAATACAGTTCTATAGAACTGTATAGCCTACGGTAAATCGTTATTTTCTTTTCTTTAAAAGTGCAAGATTAGGGAGTAAAACAAAATCCACAAAAACAAAAACCATTCAAAAATTTTTCGACCCCGTGATTCTGGTGTTAGCACTGATGTTTGCAATGATGATAGGAGCACAAACCGATAGCCCCAAAATGACGTGACGAACAGATTGATAGAAGATAGAATTCTTTTGTGTGTGTTCGCATTATAAATGTACAAATAATCTTGTTCCATTGGCAATGGGAAACATTTTTAAAAAAATTAACTTAAAACAATTGGTACGTTATAAACCACGGTAACACCAATTAAAACAGTACATTTTAATATAAAAAAGAATGAATTACAAGATTTACTCCCTCTTACAGTAGTGTGATAAAAGATATACCGCTTTAAACTGCAACTGCCAAAAATTGGGTTGTTCTATTGTTTGGATTACAATTTCCGTTAGGTTCAACCAAACGTTGTGGTCATACAAGACCAAATTAGATTTGATCTTGTATGACTACAAGTTTGGTTGAATTTAACAGAAATTATAACCCAAACAATTGGTCATAGAACAAGCCAATTTGGGGTAGTTGCAGTTTTCACCCTTTCTTGGTTAAAATTAACCGGTGGAGTTAAACAGATGAATTGAATTGGAAACAAAACATTGTCGAAAATGAGTCTCTTTGTGGTGACGGAATTTACACATATAATACCAGAACGACTAAAAAGAAAGCAATCAAAAATGGGTTGGTTGGTCCTTCATTATTGTACATAATATTGGCAACCACTTGTGTTTCGATCCCTGTATCCAGGGATGGCAAGATTATACGCTGAGCGATGTTTTTTACCCGGTCAAATTATCTTCCCCTATGAAAGTGAGCTGAATGTTCACATTAGGTTACAACTAAAAGTTCAAATATGTTGTGTCAAGAACTGCCAAAATAAATGTGAAATACTATGGTCGACATGAACTTTCTTGAGTTTCCTTAAAAAGTACAAACGTTGGTTGGCTTCTATCATGTCACAGTATTAATTCCTATATTCCAATTCAGTTTATCATACGGTACCAAGATACTTATACGTACAATCTTTCCACAGTGTGGTCACATGCAGTAAATGGTTCAGAGCCTCAGCACCTCGCCGAAAATCCAAAATCATTTCCTTACTTTTCTGTACATTTATCGAGATATAGTGGCGATTATACCAGTCAGTAAAATTCATCACCTCTGTTACACACTCGATACAGAGTCACTTTTCAAGTGCCTGGTAATTACTGTGTCGTCGGCATATTTTATGATCTGCAATTTGAGCAGGATAATATAAGCCGCCGTTGGTTTAGAATGACAATAACACCCTAATTAGGCCCTACCGCTAAACAGCGGTGTACCGTAGGGATCAATTTCTGTTCAAAACTGTTCAAACACCATCGTATTTCTATCGACACAAATTAAAGAACGCGTGACTTTTTCAGTTAAGAACTTTGTTTAAATAGATTACTTTGTAACTCAGACATCGGTGCAATCAATTCAAACATAGGGTATGTCATTTTTGAGAGAAAAAGGACGAAAATTTTCAACAAAATCATATTTAGTATTAAATCAATGTATTTGTTTGTGAGGTTGATTTCCTAAAAAAAAAACACGACCATACGATGTTGTATTTTTCCCATAGCATCCCCTCCCCAAGCATGTCGGTCTTATCAGTCTATTATACTGAGCTTATACTTAAAGTGTACGCTTTTTAATTAACTCTGAATTAATAATAATAAAAAAGACCCTCCATTTTTCAGCTGGGGCATCGTATTTATTTATTTGGCCATAAAAATAAAAATATAGGCCTACTACGGATTAAACTTAATTGTATTTTAGACGTGACATGGCACAGAGTTGGTACAGCAATAACGCTATGGTTCGATCTCGATGTAAATGCAAAATATGACAAAAACTTGAGGCTTGGTAGGGCGAGGCTTTTTTGTCTAAAACCCTTCATTGAAACATGTTCTGTACCAGATGAATAATACGTATCAGGTTTAACATGTTCAAATATGTAAGCATTGCCGAAAAACGAAAGGTTATACTCAGAAAACAACCAATACTAGGTGAATACCTGTTAAAATGTTTAAGTTAGGCCAATATCAAACAAAAAGCCACCTGTTGTCTAATTGGCAATTACTGATCAAATTACTCGGTTTTTTCATAATTAGTTGTACTCTTATCAGCTGAAATAGGGTGTTCGCTTAAACAATGAAATAGTACACTGCCATTCCAAGGTTAGGAGGGTTGGTAAAACGTAGTTGTCATCAACAATACTAAGCTGTCGAAGAAACGTGTGGTAATCAACGAAAACCATAGCCATGTCGGTTTTGTTTTTTTTACTTATTTTACATTTTAAGCAAAAAGACATTCACTTCGTATTCTTTACTTATAAGCCCAATATTTTGTGCTCCGACAAAAGCTATGGAGTATTTTTCCAAACTCTTTCAATTAAAACTTAAAACATAGAAATTATCATTCATACGCATAATATGCGTATGAATTATACATATTTTAAATATACATGAATTTTACATATTATGAATTATATATAAATTATACATATTATGAATTATACATATTATCATGCACATATACATATTTTGAATTATACATGAATTATACATATTATGAATTATATATGAATTATACATATTATGAATTATACATATTATCATGCACATATTATGTGCACGAATGGATTTTTCTACCTAATTTGGTGAAATTTACATCTTCTTTTTTGAAAGACTGTTAAATTTTGAACATAATACTTTTGGACGTGTTGACATTTCAAAACAAATTGAAATGCCTCGCCCTCCATTTATCTATAACAGTATGCATATTCGCTAAAAAGTCACTTTTTTTTTTTTAACGAGGTTGAAGGCAGAAAATGAATAAAGAATCGAACCTATAATTTTTGGATTTGTATTTTGTCATTATTTCACCTGTCTCATAATGTTCGACAATGTGCCTTAGTCATATGTTGATATTCCTGTGTGATTTGACGTGAGTGTGAGCTTTTGTTACATGTTTCACGGGACCCGTGTTATTTTTTCCGCCCCTGATGGGACCATACCAGCAAAAAAAAACAGGCTGGGTAGGGAGGCCAACACATAGTCGAGCAGAGCTAAATGATAAAATCGCGCACAATAATACCTTGAGTTTGTCAGCTAATTTTTACCAAACCTTGTTGATTCGAATAATGCATGACATGTTGCATTATGCCAGCGACATTGGTATAAGTAACTCGGTACTGATTGCATGTATTTTATATCAAGACAAGAGGAGATTTCAAGTTAGGGCTCATCAAGTTATGAGGGAAATTGGTATATTTTATCTCGCAGTCTGACGCATATTAAGTTGGCGTTTGTAGATTAGCGAACGACGAACTCGAGGCGACTGCATGTTTGTCTATTTTCCCAATGGATGATATTTGCAGCTGGCGTTTGACATGTATTATGTCAAGTGCAATGTTATTATAGTAATATCCAGCTGGAATGGCTAGCCTGAATGATATGTTGTGGATTTTATCTGAAAGGATTTGGTTGCAACAGTTCAACCTACGGTGTGTTGAATGATTGCCAGTGGAATCGAGGAAGACTCAGGATGGGAATGGTCCCATCGAAATTTCATTAATGGCCGGATTTTTAAAAAAACATAGCAACGAGCACAATCTCGTCCCCATGGCATTGAGCAGTACGCTACCACAACCTGCTCCCACGCCTTGAACATTTACATATCAATTATCCAAAATCTTGGATATTATAATTAGGTGAGGAATAGTCGAGTGTCTTTGCAATAGGCCTACTTTTTGAAATGTTGTTTCTGAGGTATCGGAAGCAAATGACACAGAAATTGGGAACACATGTAACTCTTTACACAACTGAGGGCTTGGAACTATACCCGAGAAAACAATAAAGTTTATAAAAACCTGACTCATGTCCTCGGCAAATTTCGTGAACAAACCTTATAGGCCTATATCAGGACCGGGGTATTTCGGGTCTTTAAAACCCTGGGGGATTGTTGCCACCCCAACCCAATCCTAATTTCCATATTAAAAGTGCTGTTGGCCTACTATGTGGGATCTTTGGTTGAATCGTTAAATTGGATATTGATATAGATCTTGACCTCAGTCATTGGATACTGATGATTTAAGACAGTCAACAGATTGTTAATTATATGCAATGTGGATTTATTGCTAGGTAGGGCCCTATGTGAAATATTGGATGCCATAGTGATCTTATAGATATTGAATTGTAGATATATTGAATTGGAATTTGGAAGCTGCCAGTTATATTAAATGTAAAGAAAGGAAAAAGGATTGCTAGATATTTGAAACATTGATTTTTTAAACCGGCGATAATATTCAGTCAAATTAATATTTTGAGGTGGTTTTAAGCTGACTTGTTAATATGATTTGATAACGAAGATTCCTCCTTGCAGGTCCTGATTGTACAAGCTGGATGTCCTGTAAATTTGTTAAATAAATCCGTGTAAGTAATTTGTAAATATAAAAAGATATAGTTAATTTGTGTTATTGCGAGAATCCCGGTAGTTGACACACGTTTCCTATTCCAGCCTTGGTTCCGGAAACGTGCCACATTATGAAGGTTGAACTTTTGGGCCCTATTGAGTTGGGTTCGTAAGCGGCCTACCGTGTATTGTTGATTGGAAGTGCCAAGAAAAGTTAGTCCCAACAATAGGGGACAAAAGTGGCCGTGGGTGAACAGCTCCATGTTTTTTTGTACCCACTTCAACAACTAGCCCGTGGTGCTTCACCTTGTAGTATTGAGCCTTATACGCACGGTTGATCACGCTGTACATGTGTACATATATACATGTACATGTACATGTACATACAGTAAGTGATAGCTGTACACTGCGTGGTGGAAATTATGCCAAACTGAGCTCGTCGCATTCGTCACACCCAGCTGGGAGTGACTTTAAGCTGGCTTATTAGGATACAACGATCAACGATTCTATACAGTCTTCCAGTTTCTCAGAGGACACCACTTTTTTTCCAAGTCGACATGCAGTTCGATAACATACTTGTGCACATCGGTGCATTCGGCAAGTTTCAGAAAGTCTTTTGCATTCTGGTTAGCCTAGTCGCTATACCGTGCGCTTGGCACGCCATCGCCCAGGTTTTCCTGGCTGCCGAGACCGATCACTGGTGCGCCGTACCGGCCGAGCATTCCCTGAATTGCACTGAGGAGACGGACCCCAAGACCGAAGCGTCGTGTTGGGACCTGCAGAAGGAACAGGCCATCCCCTTCAAGGTAGAGGAAGGGGAGGTCGTGTACTCCAAGTGCAAGCGGTACGTGGCGGCGTTGTGGGGCGGGGACCCTGGAGAATTGAATGGTACCTTGGAGAGAGATGCCTCCAACAACGAGACGACGTCTTGTGATGGAGGATGGGCGTACGATCGCTCGCAGTACCACACAACCATCATACAAGATGTAAGAAGCAATCACATTCCCTGAATTTCATTCTATCATTAAGCCTTCTTGCATGGTATTCGCATTGCATGTCCTGCCGTTCCTGGTGTAGGGTGACGATAATACACAATCCTATGGCGCTCTCATTAATTATCAGTCTAAATGCCATTCTGTGTTTTTTTTCTCTCCCCAATTATGTGTTTGCTATATACATGCAGTGGCGTCGCCAAGGGGGGGCCAGGGGGGCCACGTGCCCCCCCCCCCCTGGAAAACCTAGTTGCCCCCCCCCCCCCATCAAATGCTGGTGCCCCCCTCCCCTATCCTCTGCAAAATTCTGCGCGTTGTTAAAATCATTACCTCAAAAATAGCAATTTCTGGAGATATCTTCAGATCGAATTTAGCATCAAATGTGGCACCATTTTGCATCTAGCCCATCCTCCGTATGCGAAAATTTCCAAAAGGGAAGGGGGGCACCCCCTCCCCTTAGACCCCTCCCCCAGGACGGCGATCCGTATCCACCTAAGTGCCCCCCCCCCCATCAAATGCTGGTGCCCCCCCCCTGTGCCCCCCCCCCCCCCCCCAGACTGAAAAGTCTGGTGACGCCACTGCATACATGTAATTGATAAAACGTATCTTGATGAACAGGCGTGGAATACAATAACTGTGTAATAAAAGCACTAACTTGCAATATATAACCGTCTTTGCATGAACGCGTTTATTTTAGACACAAAGGCATATGGTACAAGCCATTAAATCATCCAACCCCGGATGAATACAAATTCCTCCAGGATCCAGCAGACACACATGGCAAGGTCAGGCCAGGGGATTGATTACCGTTCATTCGAAATTTCCCGACAAACTGCACCCCGTGCTGGATGGAACGTAGCCAGGAATTTTTCCCCGGTCATCCGCATAATCGAAAGGGGTCGGAGGGGGGGGGGGGGGGGGGGGGGGGGGGTCGGGTCGGACAATGAACTTATGGGGACGCGTGGGGGGGGGGGGGCGGCAGCCATGTTACTATTGGGTTGCTCTTCAAAGCGGAAGTACCTTGACATTGTCAGGACAACGGCACGGGCGTTGGTAGAAGTGGGCTGTTGGAATCGGTGGTGTTTTTTTTGGTCAGCAAAGTTGTTGACCTGTCGCCAACATGGTGGTTCGTAGGCCAGATCTCCGCAACGCAGAGTGCTATTGTCCGATAGTGTCAATTGAACAGCGTCCCCAATATAGAATGATGGCGTCAAGCTTAAGTCGTGATACTCGGCTTATTATAAGTGACAAATGGAAAGAAACAAACATCGACGAATGATGAATGAAAACTTAATAAGCCTCAGTACTGATGACGTCACACTTTTTTTACACGTGTGTTTTCTTATGGGAGCCTGGTGGGGATGACGGTTTCGTAGCCTCATAGAAAAGCGTACAAGACAACAAAGTGTGATGTCATCAGTACATATTAACCCTAACATTACCAACGCCATCAATATCCATCACCCCCCCCCCCCCCTCGGGCTGCAGTGCGATAGCTCAGTTACTATATTATAGAGTCGTGATTTTGTACTGCGAGGGATCCTCGCGGTTTAGGTTCGCATTATAGTTTCACCCGATTTCTTTTCTTTTCTAATCCGAGGCTTTGGAGGATTTTCTGATTTATATTTTTTCTCATGAGAAGTCAAGTTCTAAACGTCATAGCGTACACCACATGCGGATGTCGTTTGAGAAATAAAATTTCGCCCCCCCCCCCCCGCACCGATTTTGGTGAATTTTGGGGGACATGGTCCTGTCGGCCTGGTTTGACATAACTTTGACGGAGTATGACGGATTTGGGCAGGGAGACCTGAAGCAGTGCTGGGGGAAATCTGATTGATTTTGTCCAGCACTGAGCTATACTTCTGTTGACTTTATAAGCCATGACTGCGTACAAAGTCCATCAATATTCACCAGTACTTCAGTATATGTCATGTATTGAAAGCTTAGCGAGTGAAGGATTTTGGCGGTCTTGGTCCTCCACGTATTAAAGTCTATATACATGTATACCCAACTCCTTATTTCACATGCTTCGATAGGCAGAACTTATTTAATTCTTTGCACGAATAGTATAAAATGAAAAGGGAGATGTAGAGAGTATAGCAGCCGTTTTTATTTTTATTAAAAAAATATATACTTATACGAAATTCATAATAACATTTTGTATATTCCTCTCGTTTGTAATTTTATTTTGTACAGTTTAATCTGGTGTGTTACAAAAAAGAACTGCCTGGGCTGGCCCAGTCCGTGTTCTTCGCGGGACTGTTGACTGGCTCGTTCATCTGGGGAGCAGTTGCGGATTGGTAATGACAAAGTCATTAGTAGATTTGTAATAATTACTAAAAACATAAATTAATTTGTAATATATTGCCCTGTTTGCCAATGATATGAATAATGCACTCTAAAAAAATATTAATAATAATAAAGTTACAACAAGGTAAGTTGTTGCGGTAGCGCCATGTGGCAAAATCTCTTTTGTGATTTTTCTTCTGTAATAAAGTTACAGTTTTTAAAGACAAAATTCGAAGTAAGCCCTGAAACATTATTTGGAGCAACACTTTTTTTTAAAAATGCGGAAATAATAAGGAAGTTGACGACAACACCTCAGATCGTACAGGTTTTCAATGTGGGTCCCTTCTAGTAAATTGAGACTAGGCCTATATAGAGGAGACGTCAGGAAGAAGACAGCTAGTAAATTAATTCAGCTCTTCACTGGATGTTTTTCCATGTGTAGGCCTATCTGGTCTACACAATGGGCCAGGTTGATTGGCAGCACGGGGTAATCCTATACGACTGCACTGCCCACATCTCTTCACCAGTCTAAGTCCAAGTCACAAGACAAGGGACAGTCAGTCAGTTTGATAGGTACAAGCCTGGGCACCAGGCTGGCCCTCTTCGGCCAGCTAACTTTTCATTTGAAAGTTTTTCCCCGCAATATCTTTGAAAGCAAAATGACATGTACATGAAGTGGCTAAACGAGGACTGAAAAAACACAACAATCCAACTAGTCTCTAGAAACGCGTATATAAATGTGCATTGCAGTTTCAGCTTATGCTTATTTAGTATCTTGTCCACAAGGCCACATAAAGATCAGTTAAATGAGAAAACATTACCGAAATTCTGCTGGGGTACTTAACTATGTGTGAACAGGTAAAATGGCTCTTACCTCACCAGTATTCCTCATATCTTTATGGGGAAAAACCGGTTGGTTTTTGTACAGTGTAGCCACGAACCACTCTTTTGTTTGCTCCGAGCAAAATGTATTACTGTGCTGCTTACAGTTTTGCTACTTCGATTTCAATAAGCATGTTTGTTTCCTCCACCGTTTGTAAGTGTTTGCGTACTCAATTTCGTCGACATTTCTTTCCCTTTTTTGCGGTGGTTATAGGTGTGGTCGTAAGTTGACGTTTTTCATCAGTCTCATCCTTGCCTCTGTGATTTGCACCGTCACCAGCTTTGTGCCGAGTTTCGCAGCTTACACTGCACTTCGCTTTATCATCGCTGGAGCTAATTTTGGCGTCTACTTGATAGGGTTTGTGTTAGGTATGTGTTTGTTCAACCTAGCTCGCACCAAACAGGGCTACCGTTTTGTGTGAACGAGATTGCGAGATTTATATGTCAACGAGATTGCATGATTTTTCTTCTTTCCCGTTTCTGCCATTTAAGTAACATAATATTTGTCGTTTTTCCCTGATAATAAAGTTGTTATCGAAAAAAGTATAATTTTCTATGGACAAATGCGTCAACATTTACTTTGTTTACAGTTATGTGTTTCTGTTTTGACCACAGTGTCGGAGATTGTCGGCCCTGCCTATCGCTCCTTTGTGGGCACCCTTCTCGCCGTTTTCTTCTCCGTCGGCTATGCCCTCCTGGCCGTCATAGCGTATCTACTGCGGGAATGGCGCCATCTTCAATTGGCTATCTCGTTGCCATGGTTTCTGTTTTTCCTCCTTCTCTTGTGAGTGGACTTAAAAGCAAACTTTAATTTTTGTTTTCTCTAAAACGTATAGTCTTCAGAATTATGATAATTATGAGTAAAGATACTCTTCATTTGATGATGATGAACCTTTAAGCTCAAAGTCTGCACTTCTTTTGTGGGCAGAGACTTAGTTTGCGTTCATTATTTGTAAGGATCAAACACAAAGGAGTTATGCCCGTCACTGGAAAATTCCATGGGGATTTTTATTTTATTATTATTATTTTTTTTTTGTTGATCTTATCAACTTGGAGTTGATGTGTGGAATAACAAAAGTGAGGCTGTCTTTGAATTTGATGAAGCGAAATGTTTGAGTTCCTTGTTTGGAATTTCAACGTCCCAGCATTTTTGTTTTTATTTTGAATTCAGATTCGTTTGTTTATAACTATTCCATTTATTTATTCCCATAACAGGCTCCATCGCTTATTATAGCAAGCACATAGGCCTAGAACTTCGCTAAACATATACGATGTGACATAGGTGCCCCTTTACTGTTATTTTGGCTTTGTGTCCCCACTCGTTGGCTGTCCAACACCGGTGTATAGCATCTTTCATAAACCATTATTATTTGTTTTTATCTTTTTTTCTAACGTCAATACATTTACCTTCACGTCCCTTTAATAAAAACGACAACCATGATACGAGATCCATCGCAGTCCCTGAAGTCGTTCACATACAAAAAAGAAAAGTTCCAATTGAAAAAGGAAAAGAAAAAAATCAACAATGTGCATTTTTTTTCAATCTCCATCGTGTGTTGGTTTTATCAGCGTGATTCCGGAATCCCCGCGTTGGCTGATAGCAAAGAAGAAGTACAAGCAAGCGGAGAAAGTCATCCGTCGAATAGCCAAGTCAAACGGCGTGCAGCCCCCGGAAAATATGTTCAGAGAGGAAGAGGAGGCGCCTCAAGAAATACAAAAGGTAAACCTTTTTGACGAAAAATGGAGGTTTTTTACCCAAGCTTGCAAGAAGAAAGACATGGGAAATGAGAAAAGTGCAAAATCCTGCTCTACATGCTATCGTTTGCAAAAATAATACAGTTTTGCTTAATGTTTCAATTTTGACGAAATCTTGAATTTAGCACAAGTACATATCACTTGCCTTCATGTCAATTTGTGCCTCCTTGAAAATGTGTGCCGCCCCCTCCCCCTCAGATTTTTAACCCTAGTTACGCCACTGCGTGGAAAACTTATTCAATTCATTACATAAAATATTCCTTACATTAAAGTAAACATTCTTTACATTGACACCGTCTCTTCAAATTATTTTGAAACCATCTCGTTTTTGTTTTATTCTGTAGAATGTTCTAACTCGTCAACCCACCCAGATCGACCTTTTCCGGACCCCCAACATGCGAAAGAAGACCCTCAACATTTTCTTTAACTGGTGAGACATGGTTATGCATTTGAGTCTAACCCGGGCTTGTTGATCCAATCTATCACAACATTACCATGCGGCGTAGGTGTCCACATCCTGTGACTCAAAATGAGCCATGCATTCCCCACCCCACAAGTGCACTACCTCACCATTACGTCAAAGTACGAAGAGCGGAATTGATCGGACAGTTTGTCTCCGATAAGATCAAGACCTAATTCAAGACTTAGATCAAGACCTATCCCCATTTTGCCAGAGCGTGTAAACTTCTGGGCATTTGCGCTAAAATGTCTTAATATTGATTCTGCAAGTCTTCTGTGTTTCAAAAAGTTTTCCGTTAAAATGCATGCCAACCATTCATATCCTATAAAAACTCAAGCGTAAAACACCCGTTCCCCGCTGGCCCTCAAAACTAAGTTTCCTGTGAACGTTCTTGACTATGGGGGAGGCGTGGCTTGCTATTGAATGAACCTTTAGCAAGCAATGGGACATAAAGTGACGTCATGTGACGTTTCTGTGACGAGATGTAGATAGAAGGCTATCACCTTGTCTACCACTACCCTGAAATGTTATCGGTCTTCAGTAGGGAGTTTGAACATTAACAGCATCTCGACATAAACTGAAAACCAATCAGTGACATCGAAATTGTTGCCTTTAGTGATTGTTCTTTATTTTTTTTTATTTTTAGCGTGTGACCGTGTGGGCTCGTCATGCAGGGGTCAACGTCATGGTCATCAAGTTATGCCTGACGCAAAAAAATAAGCAACATAACTGTAATTGAGTTTTGTGTGTGTGAACGTTTGATCACTGAGTACCTTTGCCCAAAATTAGTCCTGTTGATTTGGTGTGCTTCATTTCATTGGTTGCAGGTTTGTGAATAGCCTGGTGTACTACGGTCTGTCCCTGAGTACCTCGGCCCTAGGTGTGGATGACTATGTGGCTGCCTTCGTGTCAGGGGCAGTTGAGTTGCCTGGTTACCTCAGCAGCTGGTTGGCCATTCAGAAATTTGGCCGTCGCCTCCCACTCTTCCTGTACCTCTTCGTTGGGGGCGTAGCTTGTCTTATAACCATCTTCATCGGTACGTTGATTATAGTGGACCGTTCTTGTATGTCAATCAAACAGTGCGCATTGATGAGTTAGAAAACGACATTTTCTTTTCAACTTTTTGAGTCGAACCGTTAAGAGGGGATCCATTGTAAAAGTTCCTTTAAACAAATTCCAGTATTAGGCACGAACACCGAGGCTCGGAATTTACTACTGTTTTCCTGTGGAGTTTTCCAAAATGAAAATTGCAATGACACTTTTATTGAGAAAGCTTATAGGCCTATGCCAATTTACATTTATTTTAAAAATAAAATCCTTTTTTTTTTACCAAAAACGACTGGAAAGATGGAAACAAAGCGAAATGTATAACCCGATTCCTAAGCTATTAAAAAAGTGAGGACCAAAACACTTTTGAAATGTCTGTTCAACAGATATTACAACACAATGTTTGCCATAATCTGGATCACAGTCTCTCCAACATTGGGGTTTCTTCTTAAAACACGCACGCGCCCTTCCAGATTATTCACGATTTCAATGCACGCTAATTCTAACCCGACCTCAACCAACACTATAGGTCTGCCTCAGGGAATTAAGAAGCGTTGGGTAACATGAATGTAAGCTGCTCGTATTATCGTCATTGTTATGCAGAGCCTGGAGCTGCCAGGGCAACCGTTGCTATGGTCGGCAAATTCGCCATTTCTGGGTCCTTCAACATCATTTACATATACTCCGTTGAGTTGTACCCCACGCCCGTAAGGTAAGATTGCATCAGCCAATCAATTCTGTTGGGTTGTTAGTTTAGTCTGTTGTTCATTTGTTGGTTTGTTTTGTACTATTATTAGCTGCGAGATAGCATCTCAACAAATCATCATGTCTCTCAGTCCGTTGGTTAGTTAGTTAGTAACAAACGTCGACATTGTCCATATTGCTCCTACATATTTTGACCGATTTCAACCAAACTTTGTCAAAAGTATCAGTGGCCCAGCCCAACATGTCACATCACCAAACTGAGGTCAAAGGTCATCATGGGGTCACTGGGGTCAAAAACCTGATTTTTTTTTTTACTCAAGAACACTTCGCCTTCCAGAAATTACATGGCACAATCACGTGACTCATGCATGAACACGAATTTTTTGGTACCTCGCATCGAAAACATGACAGTTTGCGTGAATGCTAAATTCGATTTTATGAAATGGGTGCAATAAGAAAGCCAGATGCAGTGCAGTTTTGTCTTAAATATTTTTTCAGCTAACTGTCGCTGTCCATATGGCGTTCCATTTTTTCCCCCAGGAGCATGGGGATGGGGATGTCTTCCATGTCGGCTCGTCTCAGTGGGGTCATAGCCCCAGTCATTCTCATCCTCGGTAAGTACTGGGAGCCTATTCCACTCGTCGTCTTTGGCGGATGTTCCCTGCTCGCGGGGTTCCTGGCTCTGCTTCTACCGGAGACCTTGAACCACGCCCTGCCAGAAACGGTTCAGGAAGGGGAGGAGTTTGGCAGTAAGTACCGTGATATTTAAAGCAAACTGTGTGTAGATTGAACAAGGCCCTACTATAGAAACGGTCCAAAATGGGAGGAGTTTGGCGGTAAGGGGCGTGGTAGTTTAAACAAAATGTGTGTACATTTAATATTGAACCTCGCCCTGCTATATAAACTGTTAAGGGAGGGGAGAAGTTTGACAGTAAGTGATGTCTTATTAAAAGAAATATTTCCGTGTACATATAGAATATTTTGGTGTCTTTTGGCTCGAAATAAGCTATTTTTAGGCACAAGAAATTCTACCGTTCCCTTATACTCCGTAAATAGAACAAGTTGTTACTCAGTTGAAGAAATTCAAAATATAAAGTACATTCAATGCATTCACATTCTATTTTCATCGTCTTGTGAATACATAAACTTGTCTAGTCAATGTACACTTTCTTTCACTTTTCTGTTACGTTCCAGCGATACCCTGTTTCAGAGTTATACAGTCTGTTCAAGGTTGAGTTCCATTAGAATTTTAACCATGAATGTTTTCCTCCTCACCATATTTCTCTTCCAAACAGAGGGTCAAGTTTTGGGATTAAGGACATTGTTCCAGATACCGCGAGGCCCGCCTGCTGACGAGAACAAGGACCAGGGTGAGACCTACAAGCCGATCCCCACCGACGAGGTGAAAGAAAGCCCCGGGGAGACCTCCCCCGTCTGAAGCGCCCGTCCTCCGCTTGAAATCTTCAGTCACCTATCACTTCACAATGGTGCTTATTGTGTTCAATACGGCAGTGCATATTTTGCCTACTTTCTACCTATATTCAAGCCCTCTCTGAGTCACAGAGCTATTCTATTTCGGTTCAAGAAAAAGCCCAATAAAAAGAGAAATCCAGTAATGAAAAAACATGCCTTAAAAGAAGAGATAAAATAGTTTATTTTGGGACCATTCCTTCTTTTAGTTTATACATTCAATCATGTTTTAGGTAAAGTGCCGGTGTTTAAAAAAACTGTGTTTAAACACACTCCTTCTAAATGACTAAATGCCAGATACAAGAATGGTAGGAATTTTAAATTTGGTATTGACAAAATTACTCAGTACCGAGGTTTTCTTGTGAAGAATACAACTTGGTAGACGTTTGTAAGATATGCCGTGAGAGTAGTGACTATAGCACTTAATAAAAATAGTTCCGATAAAGAACTAGAGTTGGCTCTTCTCATAATCATTACATGCACTTGAAAATGTGCACTTTACACGGTGTATCTGCAGATATCTTTTTAAATGTACTTCATTTTTAATCTTAGAGATTGCACTTTATAGTTGGGAAAATAGTTGCTGCATGGTTGTAGTGGAATTTACGTTTGCCTGTAGATAGATTTTTAATTCCTGATCAACAGTAAAGTCAGCTCAAAAATGATTGAATTTTTTTTTGTATATATTTTGCGCTATTCCATTTTCCACTTCCAGATAAATATTTTTATCTGGCCCGCTATCCAATGCAGCCTATCAACTCAGTAGTTAGACATGTATACACTTAAAATTTATTGAGTAGAACATATGTCAATGCCTCGACGTGTGGTGGCTTTCCAGTTACCATTTTAAAAGGTCTGGTAAAGTCATGGACATAGCTTGACGACATGTGGTAGCTAGGTAAAAGGTGAAAGGTTTATTATGTTTTGTAAAGTGCATTCAAGTAGTACTGTTGTTTAGCCACACAGTATGCATAGGTTTACAATATCATGTATAGTAATTTGTTTGCGTCGGGGTCTTAATTGTTTCGTTTTGTTTGTAATTTGGTATTTTGGTCAGTTAAAACTGATTTGGACTCGGAGGTGGAAAACTAACGAAATCTTAACCTGTTTTTGCTATTATTTTGTTTTTGAATATTTCAGATAACCTCTGTTAATCTATAAGAAAGCCAAAAGTGTGGCTTTATTTTGAGAACAATCAAGTATATTTTTTCTCGCTGATGAGCTGCAGTATTATCTTTTTCAACATTGAGGCTTGAATGCTGGTGGTGGATATTTCGTATTATGTCAGTGTGTTATTTTTCTCTTCAAGTCCAGGAAAAAATTGACTTTTCGCAGCAGCTGTTACATGGGTTTTTTTTTTTTTTTGCTTGAATCGCTATACACTATATTTTTAATATAGATATATTTACATATATTTTGCACAAAAACTATTGGACTTAAAAATGGGCTTTAACACTTTTTTTCGTGTTTATATTTTGCGGTATAAGTAGAGGTTATATTTTTACCCAAAACATGGTAGCTTTTTAAAAAATTAATACAATATCTTACGTCGAAATATTACTTTCATTTTAGTCAAACTAACAATGCTTTACTACCTTGTATTAATATTGTTTTTAAATTGGTTTTATTAGGCCTATGACATTTAGCTGATACTTTTTGGGAAAGAAGGGTTGTCAATAAAAAAAGAAAACCTTTTTTTTTCAAACTATTGCACAGTTGTAGTTCTTTCTTTGAGAAAATGTGTGTAATCCATCAACAAGTGTTGGGGGGGGGGTTCAGTGTTCGGTAGATTTCCATGTCATTAGCCAAAACGTAATTCTGAAACTCTTGATTATTCAAAAGGCTTTTATTTCTTGATTCCTTGTTCGGTTGTGGTAATTTGAAGAATCGAATTTCGGGGTTTATTTTGTTTTGTTGGGTTGTTTTTGTTTTGTTACAATGTGGTTTGGGAAAATTCCCAAATCCCAAATCCCGTGTATCGCCCCAGAGACCTCGGTTAGGGGCGGCCTGTGTTAATGATATTTATGATCGGACTTGGATATCATGCAGTGTGCCGAATGTGAGAACCTAAGTAAGAAATTTATATCAGCTGGCAAGTGTCCGAGATCGACAGTGTTCTAGACAGGACGGCCGAACTGTACATGAAAACATGCAGCTGCAGGCTAGACGCACGCCGTGAACATGCTGAGATTATATTTCGCCCTGTGAGGACCGCCCGCCATATCAATTCAATTTCAATTCATTTCAAGGGTTTTATTATCCATTCGTAGCAGCCCATAAGGCTGAATTGTGAATGATTTACAATAAAATACAAATATAACAAAACATTTGAATTACTTCATACAATAAATGAATCGTCATAACAAATTAATAGCTTTCAAGTAAGAATAAATTAATCAGATGCCAAATAGAATAGCAATATAAGGACACACATAAAGAATATATATTTTATCTTCTAAGTAAATAATAAAACAACATTTGTGCTGATCAAAACAGTCTTGCATTGAAAATGTAGCTATGGGCACGTGCAAGATATCGATTACTTGCCATACGGCTCCATTGTAAAATACTTGATTAGTACTTGCTCCTCTATTCAAAGTTGAACTATTATACTGTTCATAACAGGGTGACCGTAAGGGCATGGCAAAATTCTGCTAGATGCACTTCAAAACTCAGTCAGATTTAACAAAAATCTGTCAAATCACCCAGAATAACACTTAAAATCACATGCAGATGTTATAACATTGCCTTACTCACGTCGGGGCGATGTAAATCAATATTATATAGGTTTTGCCGTTTACTCAGTGTGTTACCTCCCAAGTGAGAGTTGGAAAAATCACTCGGGTGGGACTCGAACCCACGAATTCCTGATTTCTAGTGCAGACGTCTTACCACTCGACCACCGCGCTTACGGGATCAGTTGGCTGGTTCAAATCTGATACACGTAGCAGCGGGTACCGCAATTAAACTATTCACAAGATGAAATTGAGTCGGGGTGATCACTCTCACTCGGAAGGTAATACACTGAGTATACAGTGTTTATACGTCGGTGAAGGACAAAACTTATATTGATTTACATCACCCCGACGCAATTTCATCTTGTGAAATGTGAATAGTTTATAGTGCGTGGGCGTCAACCTTGGGGGGGGGGGCAGGGGGACTCGTGTGTCTCATTTACAGGGCCTATTACACAGGTATCTTTTGCTAAGAAAATATTGGTTAAAGTGGTCAGAAATTTTTCAAATTTTTCGTAGGTCCCTGCATTTTCGTAGGCCCCAGACACCTTGCAGGATAATCCGGGCCGTGTATAACAGTCATTATATCAGCCTGTTTAGGGACGGAACTTTGTGACATTTCCTAAGTGAAATACAGTCGAACACCTTTATCATGAACGAGGTCCTTGGGACTTAAAAAAAATTACCTTATTGCAACAGGTACCTTGTATTATCAGTATTGTAAAACAAAGGAAAACAAAGAACAACTAGAGGTTCGCGTTTGTTGAGTTACTACGCAGAGTGGTCGGGCTGGCATATTTTCTTGTGTTTACAGTGACCTAATCATAATTGAACTGCACAATACCCCTCCCATTACCCTGCACCCATTACCCTGTGTTTTTCACAAAGAAAATCACACAACCTGCAGTTGATCTTGTTACTTTACCTCGACAAGACTTGTAGGCCTATCAGGAAGCGCACATCTGGTGCTGCATGGATGGCTACTCAAGCATACAACCAGTTGGGACTATTGGTAGACTTGCCGGAGCCTCTAACGTCGTTGGAGTTTATGCAACATATGCTAATCTACGGAGCTCTGGAAGTGCCATCCGACTTGTTCAGATACTGACTTGTTTTATCTCAGGATGACGACATAATACAGGCAAGATGACGACATCCTGAGATGATTCATTACGGGATGGCGACATCCTGAAAGAAGGATGACGACATCTGGAGATAATTTATTATGGGACGACGACATCCTGAAAATAGGATGACGATATCCTGATATAATCTATTATGGTATGACAACATCCTAAAATAGGATGACGACATACCGAGATAAATTATTATGGGATGACGACATCCTAAAATGAGGAAGACGACATCCTGAGATAGTTTATCAGGGGATGATGACATCCTGAAAATAGGATGACGCCATCCTGATATAATTTATTATGGCATTACGACATCCTGAAAGTAGGATGATAACATCCTTAGATAGTTTGTTATGGGATGACGCTAAACTGGAAGCAGGATGACGACATCACGACATAATTTATCACGAGGTGCATTGAAGCCATCTTGAAAACGCACAGGTGGACGTGCGGCTTGTATAAAATGTATCATATCGCTGTATATTCATGGTATTTATTTGATGATGAGAGGTCATGTGCGTTTCCAAGATGGATTGAATGCACCTCGTGATATCTCAGGATGTCCTCATCCTACTTTCAGGATGTCGTCACATCCTAATAAATTATATCGGGATGTCGTCATCCTATTTTCAGGATGTCGTCATCCCCTAATAAACTATCTCAGGATGTCATCATGCCAGAAGAGATTGTCTTAAGATGTCGTCATCCTATTTTCAGGATGTCGTCATGCCACATTAAATTATGACGAGATGTCGTCATCCTACTTTGAGGATGTCGTCATCCCCTAACAAATTATCTCAGGATGTCGTCATCTTGCCTGTATTTTGTCGTCATCCGGAGTTAAAATAAGTCAGTATCTGAACAAGTCAGATGGCACTTCCAGAGCCCCGTACTAATCATATCATAAAATGGCTTTTATGGGTTTTTGTCTTTTGCATGGGCATAATAAAATTGTGCACTGACTTTACGACAGAAAAGTTTGTGGCTACACGCTGTGGAAATATTAATTTTCAGCATTCAGATATGTGAGGAAAACTGGTGAGGCGCGATTTCAATCGGTTATGGGAAGAAATCTTGTTTTCCTTTTATTTGAGGCTAATTTCTATATTTTGAATTCACCTAACTTTGACCTTCCGGCAGCCCCGGAAGGAAAGGTCAAACGACTTTGACTTCCGGATGATGACGCAATCACACTGTTTTTGTGTCTGGCATTCCTCATTAAACACTTTTATAATATATGTGTCTGTAGTAAAATGCTTCCGCTTTTGAGCTATATTCAGTTTTTATTGCACTTCCGGTAACACCGGAAGTAAAGGTCACGCGGTTTTGTGTCTGGGGACAAGAAATGTTCCTCACGGCATCGTCTACAACCTCACGAAAAAACGAACACGATACTCTATTTAGTTCAAAAGATATACGCAAACTATTTTGTCAAAATTTGCCCTTAATTCGCTTGTAATTTGATACCTGATGACTTCATGATGGCGTAACCAAAATTTTAACATCTTCGTAAACAAGGTACAAGTTCACACAAGGTTTTGTGATCATACCGTGAACCGTTTGGAAGAAATGTTGCTTTGTTTTGATTTCAGGCTAACGTCTTCATTTTGAATTCATTTAAATTTGACCTTCCGGTAGACCCGGAAGTAAAGGTCAAGCGAGTTCACGTACGTAACAAAAACATTTTTAAGCGATTAATGGTCTATCTTATTACAGAATACAAACATCATTGAATGTTTAGTTCAAGAGTTATAAGTGAAAGTATTTGGTCACTTTTTCAGTTAAAATCACTTGTAATTTGACACCTGATGACATAATCATGACGTCAGAGTAATAAGCACCACTTCGGATGGGGGTCGATATATATTGAAAGTTACAAATTCATACCATATACCGTTTAAGAGAAAACCCGCGGAAAAGTATTGTCAGGAAAAAAAGGGGGAAAACGAAAGAAAGAAAGATTAATCGCAACAAATCCAAAGAGTGGTCGGGTTGTGCCCGACCACTCAACAAAGACTTGGGGCCTAACATTTTCCTTGTTATAAGCAGATTGTTGTAGTAACAGTGCTCTTCTTAATTATCAGGGTACGACTGTACACATTATGACACCTCCTCTATTTTCCACCATGTCAAAATAACCTGAGGGCTTCTAAGAATGTCATATTTTTGTAAACTAATTTGTGTGACGCTTATTATTGGCTTCAATGGGGGTTTGCATGCACTGCATGCACACTTATTAAAGTCACAACAGTCATGTCGTTCGCGTACACATCATCAAACTACATGTATGTTTTACTCCACTACTGGCGGCGCGGCCGGGCGTGCATTACAAGGCTTCAATGTGTGTATAGGCCTACAATACATGCACTGATGAGTTTGCCATGTCAAAAGCATATAATTCTTTTTTGTGTGTGTGTGTACATGTTTGTTTGGCATCGGCGTATTTGACGAGCTATGTCCACCATTAATACCACGACTAGGCCAAAAAAAAAAAGTCTCCGGTTTCTGGTATGGAGCTTGCCCAAAAAAGTGGTGCGGCGACGCGGCTCTTTTTTTTTTAACCTGATTTTTTTGCCTCAAATGTCGGCTGATGACTGCAAAATGGTGCCCGACTAAACTTAGTGCAAATTATATGGGAGTCCAGAGAGGCCACATAAAGCTCCTTCTCGATCATAACCCCATCCAAAAACACGTTAAAATTGTGCAGCAGCAGGATTCCAGTCAAACCAGTGAGTTTGGCGGTTTTGAGACATCATCTTTCATTGAAAAAAAAACTTTTTCATTATGCCGACGCGCATGGCTACGGCGACGCGCGCGCATACCAGAAA